TGATGTCCATGCTGGCCGAGACTAGACGACGAACCTAATCTAAATAATAAAACAAAAACTGGAAGAGATAATTCCAAGGAGAATATAAATCCAGAGAAAGCTCAATGTAGACTATAGAGCATTATAATGATAATAAGAATGTGAGACTTTAATTGTCAATTCGTTTATAATATTTATTTCGTGATCATCGAGATGTTAAGCTCATCAGAACGAAAAACATCAAAGCATAAAAAACAGCATAAAAACAGAAAACGATATCAGCCAAAGTAACACAAAACCCAATATTAAAATCTTAAATGTATTCAGTAAATTTTTGGTTGAGGAAACCGACTACTGACAACTACTAATCTCTTAGCCCTGTGACGGCACTTGGTCCAGGGTCGAATCCTTTGGTCACGGCGCCAACGGTGACGTCGCTCCTCCGGGTCGCTCCTTGCTGCTCCAAGTGTGACGTTCCAACCCCTTGGTTAGATGATTACCAGCCTCGCCTTTCCCAACTCGCTTCCAACACCTGGTTACCAGGGTAACTGTACTGATCTCCGGTCTGCCTACCCACGTTGTGATTAGATCTTAGACAGACGGGATCAAGCAGTATGCAAGTTCGACGGGGGTAATAAAAACACAAGTAAAAGAAAAAAAACTCACGAGACCAAAAAATTACTGATAAAAAGGGTAACAACCTTTTATATCTAATGTTCGTTACATAAAAAATTATTCTTACTTCCCGACCCGCTTTGTGGATTGTGGCACCAAGCTTCTATCATACAACTTAAAGACTTCGAGTTGCCTACTCTCTAGAATTTTGTGTGTCGGAGTGTGGTTTAGTTTTGACACTGGGCGCTAATCTCTACCAGTCGTTCACGGCTGATTCTTCTCTTCGGCTTGAGTTGGACGTATTTCTTCACTTCGATTTGGTTTGAGACGAATTTCTGTTCTTGGGCTTGGTTTGATTTCAACCTCTTCTATGCATAACTGCAAGTAACTTCTTCTTCCGTCCTGCAACTCTTCTCTCTGCCGTCTGAGGTGATCTGAGCTCTCTGTCGTCCGGGGCTGAAATGAGCTCTCTGTTTGGCCTGCAACTTTACTCTCTGCCGTCTGAGGTGGACCCTTCTCGCTGCCGTCCGGGGCTGAACTGATTTCTGTCGACTGGGGTCCTGCTTTTATTGACGCCGCAACAAACTGGGGGTGGGTCTGTCGGCGTCAGGGGTTTTCTCGATAATTCCAAAAGTCGCATTATTTCTGATTTTCCATTATCGCTCTTATTTTCACCCCCTACTTCCTCACAGTGCCTCTGGTGGGAGGCGCATATCCATCTCTCCCGGTCTCTCGTATGTCAGGTGACCGTTTTCGACCAATGGGTCTTGATCGAGCGTCCTTTCTCCTCTTTCTCGCATATCACGTGACCGCTTTCGGCTAATGAGATTCTGGTTGGGCGTCTCCGTACTTCGTGACGTCTCCAATCAGGCGTGGCTTATCCCGTCGTTGTTCTGGGAAAGAACACCGTGCTAAAAAAAAAAAAATCTAATTTGGCCTTTTTCGCACGCACGAAAAATGACAATCTCAGCCTTTCTCACCTTTCTGGTCTCTGTCAAAACAGCCCGCCGCTAATTAAATGTGACTTCAGGAAGAATTTTCTCCGTCTTACTGGCGCTCTCAGAGCCAAAAAACAATCGTTTTTCACCTCTTTGTTTTTGCTCAGACCTGATAGTCAAAAAATCTTAATTATCTGAATTGAAAATGTCTTCACTTCATCATCGTGGGGTTCCAATTTTTAACAGGTCAGAATCTGTATACAATTCCAGCGGTCACCTTCTCATCCCAAAAGACACCTTTCTCCGATTAATATTTCGTTTTCCATTGTTCTAAAAATCCCATTTCTCCAAATTGATAATAAGTCTTCTACACAAAAGTAGGCCAGATGCTTTGACCGACATTTTTATCAATCGTACATATGTTCATACACTTTTACCAAGCCTGTTTTCTTTCTTTCTTTTAATTACCTTTAATTCTATTCTCCCAAATAATCCATTGTCACTTGAAATTCGGTCGGGCGCGTTGGCCTCTTGACACCTGCTTTCGCTAATGACCGGCCTTTTGCATTACTCATTTTCTTTTTCTTTTTTCCTTCTTTTTTTTCTTCCCTTAGGATCGCCTAAGTACAATTAGAGAATTATTCTCGAAACTCAATTATTCTTCGTCTAAAAAACTAACAACTGGTTAATAAACCGAATAAAAAAAATTAAATCATATTTCTATGAATATTTCTCTTCTTTAGTTTTTTTTCTAATAATGCAGGGTGCCACAGCCCTATCTTTCACCAACGCTTCTCTCATCTTCCTTCCTCACTACCAATCTAAATATATATATATATATATATATATATATATATATATATATATATACACACACACACACATATATATATATATATGTGTGTGTGTGTGTGTGTGTGTGTGTGGCAGTAGGCAGGACGTGTGTGTGTAACGAATGCACGGCCGCA